TAGTCATCACTTTTCCTCTTTAATAGCAAGGATATCAACAAAATAGCGTGAACTCAAGACGAGTACAGGATAATTATGTTCGTCAAGTGATGAAGTAACTACAATGCCTTTTCTATCATGATACGCCAATGAAAGTCATTAACAACATTGCATAATGTCATTCACTCAAATGCAAGCAGATGACATATTATTTCATAATACCACATTGTATTTAATCAATTTACACACGAGTTCTCATTCGTCACTGGCCAAGACTATTTTTATTCACGAGACATCTCGACTAATGAGGCATCGTCACCACCAACTCATGGGGGATGGAATCATTCATACCCTTTGCCACGCCTTGGCCCATTCATCACGGGTGTCCTCTTCATTAATAAGGATAAATATACCACTATACATCCGTGTGATTATGGTCATTTCTTAACACCATACACATATCATGACTACAAGAGCCATGTCATACCATGACTACACGAGTCATGTCATCACAAGATTTCATATCATCTCAATCTTGTAGAGAATCGTCTCATACGGTAGAACATCTGACTAACTTCAGAGTATCATCCACATACTCATGCAAGGGAATTCGCTCCATGGCATCTAGGCCATGCCAAAGGTCTTAATCACGTGACATCATTCACATATATTTCATAACAACATAACAATTGACATTTCTCACGCAATTAATGATAGATAATTAATTATGTGCACTTCAACAAATATATCATCATTTTTTCCATGCTAAGCCTTCATCATATAATCGGAAGCCAAGATAGGTAATCGGTAACTTAGGAGCTTATGCTTATAAATTGACCACGTGAACATCGACAACGTGAACATCGACATTGTGAACATCGACAACGCAAATGATTGACCATGTGAACATCAACAACTCAAAGAATCAACAGTATGAACATCGACAACTCAAAGAATCGGCCACGTGATTAATAGACAACACTTAGTCGAATTACAAAAATATTATTATCAAATCTAGTTTCACCATTTTCACACTTTCACTTAATCAAGCCATATTAATTAAATTAAACACCAAAAGCCATTTATTTTTCATCTAAAACATACGAGTATTTTATTTACACTATGGGCATGACACATATTTTATAAAATTGCCAAAACAGCCCACTTCCAAATTAATTACACAATTAGGTCCAATTTTGTATAGTTAGATACTTTGTCTAGATTAAGCAATGAACTCTAAAAATAACTTAACCACTTATCATAATAAGGTTCCTCCAATGTGAACAGTCCCCAGAAATTTCAGTATTTACAGATTCACCCCTCAACTTGGTGAAATTACAAATTTACCCCTAAAGCTTATAAACTCATTTTTTAAAACCGGTTTGATTTCCTTGAATTAATATTACTTAAAAACCCACTAAAAGACACTAAAAATCATAAAATAACAATGTTCACAGCCCCTCTCCATTTCTGTAAATTCGAAATTGCCCCATACCTTGACAAGAAAATTACCAAAGTACCCTTTTTACGCCTAGTTTTACCATTTTCTCATTCTTTCCCATCTAAGGTGCAACAAAACCATTTGGGTATTCTTTCAAACACCTTTTAGGCATGCATTAAAGATTTCAATATAGACAAGAAATCACTATAACTCTACTTGTAAATCTTGGAATCTATTTGCACTTAAGATCAAATTTAAACTAAACTAACAAACATAACCAACCAAATCAAGAGTACTAAGTAGATTAATCTAACTTAGCCCCTAGAGTTTTCACTTACCTTGAATGGGATCTTGAACAACCAAAGCCTTTAATCACTTTGTAAGACTCTTGAAAGTTGAGACTAAAATCACAACTTAATAAGATAGTTGGAGGTCGATCGAAACTTCGAATTGGAAAAAGTTGTTTCGTTTATGGAAGATGGGGAGATGAAGCAATTCTTGAAGTGCAAATTGAAGGGGGTGATGTCTCAGCCAAGAAAGGGGAAAGAGGATGTTCTTTTATTTTCTTTTTCTTAACTTCACTAGTAATGATTGCTACAAACCTTGATTAAGTTAAAATGTCATGAATGATGTCATTTTGATGACTAAGTTCAATGGCAAAAATACAAGCATGTGGGTTAAATACTAGGTCTAGAATCAAGAGAAGTGTTCAAGTGAAAAGGTGACAAGTGGCTTATTTTGGTTGATTAAAAAAAGAAGATATTTGATGTTTCGTCAAGATAGTTTGCAATTCAGTAAAGACACAAGAAAATCAGTACCCGTTCTAAATACCGATAAGTCAGAAAAATATTTTAAACTCAATGAAATTATCTACAAAAGCTATCGAACGTTAGGAAAATCTCAACTTAGTGAATTTTAACTTTGAAAATTATTCGATAATTATTTCAGAGCATATCGATCCCTGCCAACAATTACTATGGCGATGCGTGGTTCACCTCACTCTATATAATCAACCTATGTACGAATGCCCAGTAATTACATCCTAACGAAATCACATTCCAAAAGTCAGGTATACATAAATACATTTTGCTATCATGCATGATAAATTCGATAATTCAACTGGGATTTCTACTTATGACAATTATTGTCTTCATTTCCTACATATTAGTAATTGATGTAGGAATTTCGGATGTCACAGTATTAGTTGACAATGTTAAGTTTGATTGATTTTTCTATGAAACAATTGGATATGATTTTGGATCTTCAATTTAAATAACTGACACCTCTCAATTTCGCTAATACAATATGCACACGACCATAAAATTCCACATTAATTTCACTATTCCATGTCATTCGTTAAAAGTCCATTGTCATTAAGACGATTACTTACGTTGGTTATCAAGCGGTGAACGTAAATTCAAGATTTGAATATCGGGTTCTATCAAATAGATTCGACTTATATATTTCGGCATTTGCATTGTTCCGACACTTAACCTTGACATGCTTAATATTTTTCAGTGCTTAAAACTCAGTATCAACAAACAGGCTGTAAATAAACTATAACCTAAAACGTAAAAAGGTAAAAATTACTTCAAATTAACTAGATCATAACTATAAGAAAATTCCAAAAATGCCCGCAGCTCGAGAATGTCCTCTACATCAAATGGGCAAATTTATATATCGAAATCATATTCAAAACGTATAGTTTGCCTGAATAGTTAACAGCACCGTTTAATGAGACTTTCTTTTTTCTTTTTGGCTGTCTGCTCTTTGACGAGTTTAAAAAAATGTTTGAATAGGCTCTAATGTGACATTTCTCTGATTGATACTTAGATATTGCGTGTAAAGCAACCAACCAGACCAGGCCAATCTCAAGTAGTCGCGTTAGGACAAGCAACCACTTGTCAAAACGAAGATTTATTGCATGCAGAGTGTCCACATCAGATAATTGCCGCATTTTTTGACGCTAACTCGGCCTTTGTCCACCTCGGCCCATATGCCTGGACCTTCCATGAAAATCATTGCAGTTGTTACCCAACTTGCTGCCTTTACAACAAGCATATCGGTCTAACTTTTTAACTTATAAATCTCTCGAACTTTAGTTCTGCTTTCGATCAAATAAATCTAATGATGAGAAAGATGGAAAACCCATTTCAAATTTGATGTGGCAATCTAAGTGATTGATTTCAACATTTCTCGGGAAAATGCCAACAGGTATTATCAAGACACTTGTTAAGCATATTTAGTTTGGAATATTGTATTTTCTAAAACCATGATTACACATAACACGAAAACGATCCACGAAAACTGTAAAATTTCTTTAACAGAGAATAACAAAAAAAAAAAACATACTCAAATTTTCAATCTATGACATACTTGAGTTTTCATTCCATAACAAAAAAGTATATTTCTATTTTTGAAATACATCTTTCTAACCTGGAGACAAAACCCCACAAGAAAAATGCCAAATTACCATCTCTTTGGAAAATCCTCAACCCCCCAAATCCTTCACAAACCCTAGTCTCTTCCACGACCGATAACCATCAATCGTTGGCATCCGTCACACCTAATAGCCTTCCACCGATGTCCCACCTCAACACCTCAGTCTCTATCCCCGTCCGCCATCGATTGTTGTGTCCCACCTCAGCGACATTGATGCGCAGGGAGATGAAGAAAATTCAGAGATGACGGCGAACAGTGGCACGTCTTGGACGTGCAGCAAAGAGAGACATAATCCATAGAAAGAAAAGCCTGATAATTGAGATCTCGCCAAGCCTACTCTAGTTTTAACACCGGAAGAGAAATTTCAAAGGAAAAGAACAAAAGCAACGGGTCGTCCTCGTCACCGCAGTAGTGATCCATCCGTGGCGACGGCAAGTGGAGGCATGGAGGTTGGGCTCAAAAGTGGATGTGAGGGAGAGAGAGAGAGAGAGAGATGCTAGTTAGGATTTGGGGAGATTTGGGTTGAGTATGGCGAGGTCTATAATTATGTGGACACGTGCTGCAATCTTACGATGGAGATAGCAAATGGATGCAAGGTAGAAAAAGATGAATATGCATCCTTGGCAAAATCCTATTTACTTATGCAGGTCAACTGAAGTGCAATAGTATTTTTGAAACTTAATGTTGAACTACCTATTATAAAAGAAAGTTGTAAAGTTGAGTAATTTGTTAGGCTACCATGCAAGTTCACTAGTTATTGTCATTGTCATGCAAGTTGCCATGTCAATTTTTTTTGTGACACTATTAAAGCGAGTTAGTTGAAAATAAAATCAAAACGGAACTAATTATCGATAAGTTTAATTGCCAATTTAATAACGAGCAAGGCAAACTAAAAGCGAGTTAAAACTGGGAGCGGCATCCCTCGTAGTTCTTCCCTTATTCTGGACATGGTGATCCATGTTTCACGATAATCAGCCAGCTAGAGATCAATAAAAAAAATATCCTTTTAAAGATGGTCTCGAATTTTCTCTCTCTCATTCCGGGGTAGGATGGATGGAGCATATTTATATTGATTCCTATCACGGCCCGTGTTATTGAGTCGTGACCAACTTATAACACGCATGGGTCTTCGGACAGTATTTTTTTTTTCTTTGGTCGTATGGGTCTTCTCTTCGGACATTGAACATTCTCACCGCGTGGACAATACAATTACAATCACACGCATGTCGTTAATTCGGTAAGTGAGATATCGTGAGCAATGGTCAACGTTTACCATAAAGGCGACGACAAACCTTTCTAGATGAGGAACCGTCAATTCATTTTCCCAAACTATTCATTCAACTGTATATACGTCTCGTCCTTGGCGAGATTCACTGCACTCGTCTTTCGCCGCCGAGTCCTATGGCTCCGCCATCCTCGCTCCTCCTCCCCCTCCCCCTCTTCCTCCAACTCTTCCTCGTCCTCCAATCTTGTCAGCTCTCCACCTTGGCGCTGCCCAGTCTCGCCAAACGCGCGTCCCTCTCCGTCGAGAACCCCGACGACGTCCTCGTCTCATCCTCTGGCGCCTTCTCCGCTGGCTTCTTCCCCGTCGGCGACAACGCCTACGGCTTCGCCGTCTGGTTCAGCGACCCCCCCTGCTCCGGCGCCAAATGCACCCCCGTCTGGATGGCCAACCGTCAGGACCCCGTCAACGGCCGACGCTCCACCTTCTCCCTCCTCGACTCGGGCAACCTCGTCCTCACCGACGCCGGCGAAGCTGGTGGCGAAGTCTGGTCTTCCGGCACCAGCTCCCCCTCCGCCGCCGAGCTCCGCCTCAACGACACCGGGAACCTTGTCCTCACTGACGACAGCGGCGTCGTCCTGTGGCAGAGCTTCGACTCGCCGACCGACACCCTCCTACCTCAGCAGCCACTCACCAGAAACACGTTCCTGATCTCCGCTCGGAGCCGGTACAACTGCTCGACCGGGTTCTACAAGCTTTACTTCGACAACGACAATGTCCTCCGCCTCGTCTTCGACGGCCCGTCGATCTCGGGTGTGTACTGGCCGTTCCCGTGGGTCCAGAGCTCTCTGTTCGGCCGATTCCTCTACAACAGCAGCCGCATCGCTGTGCTCGACCCACTCGGCCACTTCCAGTCCTCCGACCACTACTCGCTCTACACCTCCGACTACGGCGTCGCAGCTATGCAGAGAAGGATGACCCTCGACTTCGATGGCAACTTGCGGGTCTACAGCCGCGAGCCGGGCTCGACCGTTTGGGCCGTGACGGGGGAGGCGATCAGCGGCATCCCCTGCTTCATCCACGGCGTGTGCGGCAACAACAGCCTCTGCAGCTACAACCCCGTCAAGGGCCGGAGCTGCTCCTGCGTGCCTGGGTACGTCCCCAAGGTCCCAGGCGACTGGTCGGCTGGTTGCGTGCCCGATTTCACATTCTCCGATGCATGCGCCGCCGACGAGATCAGGTTCGTGAAGCTCCTGTACGTCGATTTCTATGGCTACGACTACAACACCATCTTGAACACCACCCTCGAGAAGTGCTGGCAGACTTGCCTGAACCTGTGCAACTGCCGAGGATTCCAGTACAGCTGGTCGACCCCCACCCGCACGTTCGATTGCTTCCCGAAGATCGAGCTCCTGAATGGCCACAACCTGCCCAGCTTAATTGGCGAGTTCTTCATCAAGGTCCCCAAGAACAAGACCTTCACCGAGGACCAGCTGGTGAAGAGGACTCAGTACAGTTGCTCTCCCACCGCGGAGGTGAAGGTCTTGGACAGGACTTACTCCAAGAAAGGCAAAAACGGAGCGGTAAGCTTCATGCTCCGGATCGCCTGCGTGGTTGGAGGGATCGAGATCGTGGTGGTGTTCTTGGTGTGGTTCTTCCTGATTAGGAACCAGCAGGACGTCACTTCGGCGCACCAGAGCTACCACCTCGCCGCAGCTGGGTTCAAGCGGTTCAGCTATGACGAGCTCAAGAAGGCAACGAGGAATTTCAGCGAGGAGGTCGGGAGAGGCTCGTGTGGGATCGTGTACAAGGCCCTATTGCCAGATAATCGGGTAGCGGCAGTGAAGATGCTCAACAATGCCACAACTGGAGAGGCCGATTTTCTGGCCGAGGCCAGCACGATCGAGAGGGTGAACCACATGAATTTGATAGAAATGTGGGGTTACTGTGCCGAGGGAAAGCACAGGCTATTGGTGTACGAGTTTATGGAACACGGGTCGCTGGCACAGAACTTGTCGTCACCTGAGCTCCATTGGAAGAGGCGATTTGACATCGCGGTAGGTACTGCAAAGGGTCTAGCTTATCTCCACGAGGAGTGCTTGGAGTGGGTTCTGCATTGCGACGTGAAGCCTCAGAACATACTCTTAGACTCCGATTACCAACCCAAAGTCGCGGATTTTGGGCTTTCCAAGTTAATGGACCGGGGAAAGGTGACGAATTCCGATTTCTCGAGAATCAGAGGAACCCGAGGTTACATGGCTCCTGAATGGGTCTCAAATCTGTCCATCACATCCAAGTCGGACGTCTATAGCTATGGGATTGTGATGTTAGAGATGGTGACGGGGATTAGCCCGATGACGAGCGTCCACTCATTGGAGAGCGGAGGGGACGCCAAGCAAATCCGGCTCATCCCGTGGGCAAGGGCTAAGATGATGGAACCGGTGAGGATGGGGTCCCGTCTGGAAGAGATGGTGGATCCGGCGCTCAAACGCGATTACGACCTGAGGAAAATGGAGATCCTGATCGAGGTCGCGCTCAAGTGCGTGGAGGAGGATAAAGACGCCAGACCCACCATGAGCCAAGTGGTGGAAATGCTCCTGAGGCATGAGAATAATGGTTGATTGCGGTGCAGAGTGATGTGGTGTGGATTCCGGTGCTGTTACTACTGAGTACGGTATCTGGCCCAAGTAAAAGAAAAAAATTAAGAGCTGCAAACATAAGATAGTACAAAATTAAAATCATATGAGCAGAGATTTAAATGTTAATTGAGAAGTTCGGCTTAAAATGATGAAAGTTAAAAGAAAAAAAATTGTTAGATTGTAATTGATATTTTTATTTTAGCGTTTACACAACTTTACAAGTAAACGAATTTTTGTCAATGGAGCAAAGGGTAGTTTTGTGAATGAGTTATTGAATTCGGTTTCGGATAACATTATCTATTAAGTAAAATTTAAAAATCATCTAAAAATAAAAATAGAGCTTCGCAAAGAATCATATTTTACTCTATTCCTGGTTGGAGGGTCGGCAATGTATCCATTTATACTCTTATCTGGTTGGGGGAAGCTTTACCGATCAAATATGAGGGAAAACACACCTCTTTAGTAAATAAGGATACGAAACTATTTTGTAAACTGATAATACATTTAAAAGTTCAAAATTTACCAAAACAGTTATTATTAGTACCCGCGTTTGTAATCCATCAATTAGATATGCTGCAATCGAAAATAAAGAAAAACACGGCTCTTTATAAGCACGTAAAACCATTTTGCGACTCAAAATGCATAATCCATTTAAAAGTTTAAAACCTATCGATATGGCGGCCCTAGAAATCCGATTAACCCATTGATCGTCCGAGGGAGGTTTCAGGGTTGGCCGAGATCCGAACTTCAACAACGTGGATCAGAAACATTATGTACCAAAAAAGAAGAAGAAAGAATTCTAACCCTAACTCCGACTCTATGCGCAATTTTGAGTTTGTTTCTTCTTTCTCATTGTCGATTCTTTTTCTTGTATATGGTCGATTGCTTTCTTTTTGGACAAGCAAAAGTAGAGGGAACTTTCCGGAATTTTTAATTGGACCCCTTTAGGAAATTCATATATTGAATAATACAATACCATTTTATTGGATATTAAATGTGATCTACTAGATCAAACTATCGATCCAATTTTCCATGTTACTGAAAGTGAACATATCAACATATGATTGTTTTTTTATAAATAAGATCCATGGATATTTGGATCTGCGGGTGCACATGCCATCTAGTCCATGGCAATTTGACATGCGCTAGATGTATGCACGTGACTTAATTTTTCTTTGGTCGGAACTGCGCAAAAAAAAACTAAAAATATACGAATCGTTCGTGTTGTTTTCCAGGCCATTCATAATGAAAAAAAACTGAAATTGGAGGGTACGGTCAAAGATTATGTCCTATCACTTTGTGGCCGTTGATTGCGGAAAGAAGATTGTGATCACACAGGAGCCAAATGGATCAGATCGAGGATCCCCTTCTTTGTGACGAGGCTTGAAGGTCAAACGCACCGACCTAGAGAGAGCGCCCTCACACGGCAAAAAAAAAAAAAGCACAGAGTCACGTAGATTCTCAATTCACAATTGGATACACCTAGTTTGCACTTTTATCATATTTATTATACAATCAGAGATTGACAACTTTTCTTTTTTTTTTTACTAAGATAAAGACGATTGCATGCGCCACAACTTTCGTTCAGCTGAGTGTCGCAACTTATTCCATAAAGAAATAGAAAATGCTTGCTAATAGAATAAAATAAGGAAAAAAAGAAAAAAAGAGTCAGGTATGGGCGAGTGGTGATAAGAAGAAGAAAAGAAGGGTTAGATTATGCGAACCCGAGATGAGCAAAAGAGACAAGTACAGCAAATTGAGATCTCCACCTGTTGACACCCAAAATTACCCCTGGTGGGAATGGGCCATCCACGAGCTACAAAAGATGTAAAGCACGGCCCACATGGCAAAAAAATGAGAAATGCCATAAATCAGGCCCAGAGGCAGTTGTCGACAGGACACGTCGTAAAGGTGTCGACAAGTTTAAAGTCACGAGCTCTGCACGTGATGTCGACAAATTTAAGCCTTGCATGTGACGTCGACGAATCCCAGATCACGAGCTTTACATGTGGCGGCGACAAAGTTCAAAATAGCGAGTTTTGCGCGAAATCATGGCAATACGAAATGAAAATTCATTTACACGTGTCAAAAGGTAAAGACACGACCGTGGACATCAAGAATGACAAGAGATAAAGTGACACGTGGAAGGAAATTGGTTACTACGTGATGCCCAAGGAGCGTAAGCAATATCGACAAGTCAGGAAACAGTTAAAGCACGAAACGTAAGGAAGTGGAAAACGACTTTCAAGGAACGGTTGTCAGGCTGCTCTATAAATACTCAAGGACTTTCAACGTAGAAAAAAACCATTCTTCAACAACATAATGCATCCTTTATTTAGCCTTTATCTTTAAGCACATTAGGAGTAGTATTAGTCATAATCTTCAGATTCTGTGTCGTAGATTTAATTCCGACGAGAGTCTTTATCAGGTTCAGCATTGTTGATTAAATTCCAGTGTTGAGCCACTAGCTCAGTGTCGTCGATTAAATTCCGGCGCTGTGTTTGGAATATAGCTGTTGATTAGATTCCAGCCGTATTCATTCAAGTCGCGTCATTGATTAAATTCTGACGTACTTTGAAGTTGTGTCGTCGACTAAATTCCGGCATAGCTTAATTTCAACATTTGCAAGTTGTCATTTCATGGTCAGTATTGTCGAGTTCGACATCATATCAAGTTAGGGTGTAAGATCTACATTGGATTAATAAATGCATTTGACATTCTCTGTCCAAGCTTGACTCAAGACCCTAGTCTCCTCTAATAAAATCCGAAACGCAGCGTTCAGTGAAAGATTTTTCGACGGAGTGACAAACCGGCGAAAACATCTTTTTGGCACGCCCGGTGGGACAACTATTGAGTTAAGTCGAGAGAGTGCTACGCCACGCACCCGGAGTAGAAGCAACTCGAATAATACTACTGACGAGCACGCTGTATCGATGGCGAAAGATAATAACCGTGCTGAGACATCATCTGCCCAGTTTCTTCATGCCGAGGTGGCGAATCAGTCTCGAGAAGAGGTCGCCGACATATCGAGGCAGGGTGTTGATGAAAGAAGGCAAACTGAACTCACACCAGTTGTGCTTTCTACCATGAGGCGAATTATTGAGGAAACTCAGAACGAGCTTGCTGATTATGTGGTAAGGCGTATGACTGAAGTGGTTAAACCTTTGATCATTAACACTTATCATGAATGCACACAAGGTCAACATGGAGGGTCCATTGCACCAACCCAACTGAGAACAGGGTCCCCATCAGCACTGGGGGGGTCCCGCTATACAGTTCGGAACAGCGATGCAAACTACTTCTACAATTCCACCCATTCGTATATTACCAAGGGGTGAAACCTTGCCAATAGCAACCAACGGAGGATTACTACACGTTAGCGCAGACCAGAATGGAGTAATTGCTCGACAGCCGGTGATAGACGAAAACCTCCAAAGGGGACATCAGGTTGCTCAGATACAAGGCCCATCTGCTATCCAGGTAAGTCCTCTACCGGTAGTCCCAGATGCTTAAAATCTTATAGCACCATTCCCTAGGGGGCAAGAACAGATCCAACAGGTGAACATCCAACCACAACGTCAGACACCACAGCCCGTGGTGCCTAACGTGAATCAGCAATTTCCTCCTCCTATCGGTCCAAATGTTCAGGTCCAGCAACCATTGCCGGCATAGTTAAATCTACCGGTTAATCCACCTCTGGTTGCTCATAATAGACCACCCCAACAGCAGCCCCAGTTACCATAGCAGCTGTTCTACCAATTACCTCATCAAAATCTGAATCCGCCATTGCAACCAAATTATATGGTAGCTCCTGCACCTATCGCCGGTCCAGCACGAAATCAATTAGTAATGGACCCTGTAATGAGGGGATATGGCTATGATGCGGGATACCTCCAAAACATTTATAGAAAACCATATTCTGATTGGATGGATACAATACCATATCCAAGAGGTTTTAAAATGCCAGAATTTACATTGTTCACTGGAGAGGAAGACCAGTCTACTTTTGAACATGTTAATCGTTTTCTGGCTCAATGTGGTGATGCGGCTCATGCTGATTATTGGAAATTAAGGTTATTTCCTTTGTCCTTGTCGAAAACCGCTTTTACATGGTATACTGCTTTACCTGCGAATTCGGTTACATCATGGGAACAAATGGAAAGGTTATTTCATTGTCAATTTCAAAGGGCTGTGCCAGATTTGTCTGTAGCTGATCTCTCGACCATGAAACAGTTAGCTAATGAGTCTGTTGATCAGTTTATTTCCAAATTTAAGAGGGCAAGGAATAAGTGTTTGATCCCTTTACCTGAAAAGACTTTTGCGGACCTCGCTTTTAATGGATTAAAGTTTGAAATCCGAGAGAGAATGGTTGGACAACCATATTCGGATCTGTTCCAGTTGTCAACCATAGCTACCAAGCATGAAAGTCTCCTCCAGGAAAAAGACAAAAGGTATGGCCGACAGGGTGAAGTTCGTTGGGCCGATGCTAATGAGAGCGAGGATGAAGCCGAATCAATAGATATAGTAGATATGGCTCTCGCGAAAATGGTGATTGATAAGCCGTACATCTGCAAAGCTCTAAAACCAGCAAGAATCAGAGAAAAATCTAACCTCATGTCAAAGGCTAAGGAACCCGTTTTTTATTCTTTCGACATCAACAAGACAGACGAAATATTTGATTTATTATTAGCTGACAAACAGATTAGGCTAACGGAAGGACAGGTTTTACCCACCAAAGAAGAATTAGCCGGAAAGAAGTATTGCAAGTGGCATCATTCATGGAGCCATGCCACTAATAACTCGCCTCATATTTAAAAGAAACGCCCAGAAGCTATTAAACAAGGGAAGATAAAATTTTCTCAAGACAAAGGCAAGACCCCAATGGAAGTAGATGTTGATCCTTTTCCCGTAATATGGTGAATGGTGTCATTAAGGACAAACGCCGGGGGGCATCAGCCACGCTCGTTTTTTGCGAAAAGTGTAAGCGACTTTTGGAACAAGAGAATCATCACTCCAGAAGTCGAAGACTTTTGCCTAGAAAGGTTGTCGATGAATTTCGTGATTTGGCCCTCATTGATTCATATGATAAACAAACTCCTTCTAAGGGTACTAATCATCATAGAGGTCGTCGAGGCCATAATAAGGCTATTAAGTCATTTAAGTAAAGGTATGAAGAAGGTGATCCGACTATTGGTACCTTGGGAGAGCCTAGCGGTAAATATGATTATTATGTAAGTTATGCTCAACCACCTTCATACAATGCGAAGATCGAGCCAAGTGGATGGGGTCCTGATTTCCCTGATCGGGAAGATCTTCACACAGACTCTCATCCACCATATCGACGAACTCTGAAGGTGCCAAGAGACCCACTTGTAAGTCAATGGTATGAGGCCAGCCAAACTCGAAATCACAGTACAAACCTAACGCGGACTCAAAAAAGGAGAATGTTGCGGAAAAGAAAAGAATATCAGCTCCAGCAACGAGTAAATCAA